CTGATTGATCTGATGAACATTTGAACATTTAAATTTTACAGATCAGTTGTTGTTAATTTGAATATTGCAATAAAGTATGAGAAAAACACAGATATTTTGCTGAATGTCTGCTGTATTCCATTGATTTAAAATACCCAAAAAGAAATCGATGAATCAGATTTTTCTGCTTTTTTGGTAGAGTTTAGAAAACATAAAGTTTTACACAAAAAAAGAAGAATAGAATATTATTAAAAAGAAAGAAAAATGAATGGAAAAACTGATGACGAACAACAAAAAATGTCCAACTGTTCTGAACAAGAAAAAAAAAAATTTTTAAACCTCTATTTATTTATACTTTTTTTTTTGTCGAAAATTGTTACTGTGTTTTATTTTACCGTAATATCGACTTATTACTTCGCTATTTTTCACAAAATTTTGACTATATATTAAAAAAATTGCTGATAAGTCTTTCGTTGCTAAGTCTATTATTCCCCTGCACAGTTATAGCATATAGACGTAAAAATATGACATAAATTGATTAAACAAATCTGGTTGCGTTACTTCCGGACAGGTGGTTTATTGGATCTTACATGCATTTTTATAAGATTAGTTAAAAAGAATTAAGAAAATTATTTCTTTTGTTTCTCTGCAAAATATTCTTAACTATATTGCTGACATTTATTGAAAAGTTGACTTCAGAAACCTCTTCAAAAACTTGGTTTTGATACACTTAGATAGGTCACATGGCGTGCAATGGAACGATTGAAAAACAGTGGTAATGCAAAATAATAAAGTCTAATTTGGTCGTTGTGAAAAAAAAAAAACTTATCAGCAGTGAAAGGTTAAAGAAAGTGTTAAAAAATTGACTGTGTTAGAGACTAAAATTTTATAATTTAATAAATGAGTAAATAATTTACCTTTAATTTATATAGTTTTATATTTTATTGCTGTAACAGAAAACCAATTACTTTTGTTTCGCGTAGACCACTGAACAGCAGTTCAGTGGTTTCAGCTTTGATTTGCAGTTCAACTGTTTCAGGGATTCAGACAAACTTCTATAAGACTGTCAGAATAGCGGTAGCACAAATAAACTTAAATTATTAAAAAATTAAAACTTTTACACTTTTGTACATTTTGATAGCTATTAGACAATAAAGAGTTGAAATTTTTTTGAGCAGAGACATTGACAATACATTAGTTTGAAATTGTTTTCTGAATTGATGTTTTATGATGTAATGTTCTAAAGTTGAAAGTAATTTCAATGCAAAATAATCATTTTTTTGTCACTAAATTATCACGCCATCTTTCATATTTCTTTGAAATGCTACCTGCTGAAAAGTTTTATTTTTCATTTTGTATACAGAAAAACACAGGAAATTGAAGAAACTATGTAAAGCAACTTTAGCTTTTTTTTCTTAAGAATATAATCATCGACTGTCGTAGTTATCAAACCTGAAGAAAATAAATAAGTAAATCAAAAGAAAAAAAAAAGATAAAAATAGAACCTAATTATAAAAACAGTTTAAAATTATTTGAATTTACCAAGCGAAAAGATTTTAGTGAAATTGTTCATACACTAAATTATTTGTTGTTCCACTGTATTTTTGACCTCAATAACAGTGGTGTGGCATCGTTCATTGATACTGTTAGACAAATGCAAATTAAACATTTATTTAATCGCATACCATAAAAACTTGTAAAACATTTTACTAACAAATGAAGAAAAAAAAATTGAAAAAAAAAAAAAAAA